TTAGCCACTATGCTACCAGAGCTCCTATAGCATCAGATATTGTGCTCATTTTATGTTTTATTATTGTTATTGTAAATATATGTAGAATAAAATATTTGCCATTTCAACATTTTTTACATGTAGAATTTAGTGACATTAATTATGTTCATCGTGTTGTGCAACCATCACTATCCATTTCCAGAGTTTTCCATCACCCCCGGATAGAAGCTTAATGCCCCCTGGGCAGTGATTCCCCCTCCCCGTCTCTCTTCTGCCATTGGTAACCACTAATAAACTTTGGTCTCTCTATATATGTCTATTCTAGATATTTCATATAAGTGGGATATACAATATTTGTCTTTTTGTGGCTGGTTGATTTTACTCAGTGTTTTCACATTTCATCCCTGTTGTAGCACCTATCAGGACTTGTGTTCCATTGTATCACACATTTTATTTAATTCCCATTGTGACCCTATGAAGTGGACATGACTATATCCATTCAGAGATAACGTTACAAAATTTTGGGCAATTTATTTCACCTAATCCAACATGTCAATGCAGAGGATTTGAAGGCATATTATTACTTACCATTTTACACTGTTGAACTTTGCTATGAGAAGTCCCCCTGCAGAGATTTTGCTTCCCCTGGAGTCTCACCTAGGCCCTAGGGAGTCTGGGCCCCAAACAGTTCTGAGGAACCCCTCAGAGGCCATGAGAAGGGAAGGCAATAGGCCAGCTTTCAGATCTGCCACCCCAGCTTTGACCAGACTCACTCCACTTTTCATCTATTTTATATTTTGGGCTTCTCATTAAATTTCATTTAAAGAAAGTTTGAAAACCTTTGGCCTAATGCACTCCCAGAAATCCTTGAGCTGAATGCAAAGACCTCATCCTCATCATCAACACATGGTGGTCCTAGACTCAGGGATCAGGTCTTTATGTTGGAATCCTGAGGGAGCACTGAATTTGGTGTCAGGAGACCCAGGTTTGAGTGTTAAGCTTTGCTGTAATTTATTTGGAAAATGGGGTCATGATACTTCTCTTAAAGGGCCATCTTGATGATGAAACCAAAGTGTTTTGTGCCTACAAGGGCATGTTTTCCATCTCAGTGATTCTTCTCATTCTGAATACCCAGATCTAACCCTAGCTGTGCCCATCTGTAACTCTCTGGCCATCGTCTTCACACTGATTGTTGGAAAGATACTTGGAGAAGATATTGGTGGAACACGTAAGTCAGGCCACTGAAAGTGCAGGAAGCAGCTACTTGGGCTTTGACATACCCACTGTAGTTCTTTTCCAGAGTCCAAATGGTTAAGGAGGCTGGGCTGCTAACTGAAAGGTTGACAAATGGGGATAGGCTCTTCCCTATACTGCCCTATTCCTCTATCTGTCCAGCTTCCAGCTCTCTTGCTTTTTTGTGGCCATCAGAGTTTCTGGGTTGGGAACAGAGGTTGGGGTAAGAATTTGTACCAGACCCTACCAGCTCTTCCCCTATCCCTGGACCAGCCTGGCAGGGCTCACAGCTCCTCAATTTTGTTATCACAGGAGCAGTCGTAGGCATGGTGCTCACCGTGACAGGAATTGCACTCTGCATCACAAGCTCAGTGAGCAAGACCCAGGGGCATCCATCTGTCCTTTGAGTGGGCAGACCTCAACCACCACTTCTCCTGTCTCCAAGAAGCCTCTGGCCTGTGAGATGCAGGCATGAGCAGAGAGACCCAAAACTTCTGAGTCTTAGCTTCCCCATCTCTTAGGGGGATAATAGCTACCTCATGGATCACAGTAAGAGAACAGAGTGAATGGGTTCTGAAACCTTCAGGTGCTGTTCAGCTGCTAGGACTAAGCACTGGAGACTTCACAGTCATCCTCAGCAGCTCCCTTCCTGCCGTCCTCTCAGCACCCACCCAGCCCCAGCCCCATTACTACGGCCTGACTTAGGCCACTGTGATGAATTGCAGCGCCCCAGCAGCAGGGAAGGAGCCACTGCTGTCTTTGAGCCAGAAATGTAAAATGGAGGTTCCGGGACTGGGTCAGAATGCATTGGCTGACTGAAGGGGTAGAACTGAGGGGAGAAGTGCAGGTATGGGGAGGTGAGCTGCCAGTTAGCCAGCCTTGCCATCCCACCCATGAGGAGGGTGGGATTCCTCAACTGCTAGTCCTTCTCAAATGGTCGGACAACTGTGAGCCCCAGCACTGTAAAGCCTTCAATAAATCTGCAATAAACAAAGGTTAGTAGTATTTTTTTATTGTGACTAACTTACTCCCAGGTTTGTGGCCTCTGCTACTCCTTTCTCTGGCCAGGTAAGAAATGGCCTTGTGTGGTTTGGGCTGCCCTTCTTGGAAAGCTGTGGTGGGTTTAGGAGCAGATGAAGAGGGGGAGGGGCTGGAGAGGCGGCAGCCTACCCTGTGAACCCAGGGAGGGCAAGGCTCCTTGGGAACAGACTGCTGGAGGCTGTAGAGTAAAGGTCTCCTGTGCCCGGTTGGAGCTGCTTGCTCTCAAGATGGCAGAGCAGGGGCTGAGGTTCAAATAGCTGCTGCAGCCCCAGGCCGGTCATTTCCCAGGAACAAGTCCTCTTCTACCATTGGTGCCGCCCTCTGGAGGAGACAGAAGGCTACACAGATGAAGCCATCAGCATCCCTGGTCCCACCCTCAATAGGGAGCTCCAGGAAAGGAAGAGACTTCAGAAATAAGGATCTGTCCCCTCCTTTAACAAGGTGGAAAGTCAGGCTTCAAGATGTTAGGAGATCTGTTTATAGTCACAAGGAGGACTTGGGGCTAAATTCTACTCAGCTCAGAACTCCTATCCCAATGTACTGCTCCCAGCCCCAGCCCACCTGATCCAAGGGCTCCTCTGTCTGGGTATCTTCATCATCTGCTACTTCCTGGGCCCCTGCCGTCTCACGTCTTGGGTGGGGAGCCCCATAGACTCCCTTGACTCCTGGTGAGGGAGGCAGCATTGGCTAATGCCCAGGCTGAGGGACCCTCAGCATTCTTTCCTTGATCTTCTCTGCCCCTTTCCCTTGCCTGAGCCTTGCTATCTCAGAGGATGGCAGGGAAGTTGAAAGGCTGACCTTAGGCCCTCCATCCCATCCCTTCCACATCCCATCACTGAAGGCTCATTCATTTGGTTTAAGCAGAGGGTGACTGAGAAGGGCTTGGGCCTCAGAAGTCCCTCACCTGATGAAAGTGAGAGAAGGGGGAGTTTGTTTCTTGGCTGAGTTGCCTCCTGGGGTCTGGCATAGAAAGCAGATGGCTCAACTTGGGTTGGCTTCTTTGGAGTGGACTGGGTTGCCTGTGCCCTGTGGCCATGGGCCTATAGAGGGGGCATTTGGATTAGGCCATGGGTGCTGACTGCTTTTACCTTCCCTTCTCCCCAGTCCTGGCTTCCGAGTGTGCCCCAATACCTGAGGGAGCTTGGGAGTGAACATGCTGTCCATCTCCATGGCCTGCATCCTCCCTCCCTGTTCCCTCTTTCTGCCTTATCCAGGGACAAAGCAGAAGATACTTTGGAAAGGCCCTCTGGCTCCTCCCTTGGGAGGACTCACACCTACCATAGAATAGGAAGCTGGTAAGTTTCCTCGGACCATCAAAAACCAAAAAACAAACTCACTGCCATTGAGTCGATTCTGACTCATAGTGACCCCCTTTGGTTTTCCAAGGTAGTAAATCTTTATGGAAGTAGATTACCCAGTCTTCCTTCCGCGGAGTGGCTGGTCGGTTTGAACCGCCAACCTTCTGCTTGGCATTACACCACCAGAGCTCCTTGGACCCTGCTCAGCCAGATATGCTGGTTCTTTTCCCCAGCATCCAGCCTGGCAAGAAGGAATTAGATCTAGCAACTCAGAGGTCTGAAGACCTTCATAGACCTAGATGAGCTGGCTTTCAAACAGAGTTGTATCTAAGGTATGGCACATGTTCTGAGCACCACTTGAAGGGGGACACCACAGAGAAGGTTCTATTAACCATCGCAGTTTCCATCACCAGCTGTGAGAAATCATTCAGCAAGTTAAAACTCTTTCGTATTTGAGAGCTTCCCTGGGTCAAGGCAGACTGTGTGATCTTGATCTGCTGAGTGTAGAAAAAAAAGAAACGGAAGAAAATGACTTTGAGCCCATCAGACTAATGTCACCAGTGAAAGCAAGGAAGGTGCAGTTGTAATTTTCCTGTAGTGCCATAATGTGCTAAATAAAAGATTGACAAGCTTGACTTGTATCAAAAGAGCTGATATTATGGTTAAGTTATCTAAAAGATGGGGGTCAGAAGTTTGGACAGGGGCTGTGCGATTTCAGTGCTTGCTGTAGGCACTATTTTCCATAGATACACCTCTGCTCTCATACCAAGTTCTGGTCTGGTTCCTGCCATTCAACACCTGTGTCACCCTAAACAAATTGCTTCACTTCTTTGAGCTTTAGTTTCCTCCTCTGGAAAATGGGGACAGTAATCATCACAAGATTCCTGGGAGGATGCAGTGAAATAGAGCCAGAGCCCAAGGAGAAGTCAGCCAGTCCACCCTCCCACCTCCTCAGCCCCTGCATCACCTACCCCCTGCCTGTGGGGCCTAGGCTTCTGGTCTGAGAGATGCCTGCAGTGATAAAAGAAAAGGCTTGTAAGGAGGGAAAGATATGGAATCCGAAAGCATACAGACCAGATGGTCCTTTGCTCTTCCTCCTCACACTTACATACCAGCAGGCCCTGGGCAGGGAGGAACTGGGCACCAGCAGCTCTAAGTAGGGGAGAGCCTTGAACTCATCCACTCCGACAGCCACATAGTAATGACCGCTTATCAGATCCTCCTTTGCCGACAGCGGGAGCCCCTCTAGGGTGCAGAGTCTAGGAGGGGAAAAGCAGTTTGTGCGACAAGGGCTGATGGATAGTGAGTAGGACAAGGGCTGATGGACAACATGCCTCTCATATTTGGCAGACTGTGAGGGATGGGTACAATTATTCCTAGGGTACCTTGGCACCTGGCCTGGGCATGAGGGCTAGTCACTTAGGCTCTGTCCGGGCTCTGAGGGCTGGGTCACAAGGGCCTCTCCTTTGGCATAGGAGGAAGTTCCATTTGGGGCACTATGCTTTCCTTTCGCCTTTTCATCCTCAGGGACAGCCCAAACCAGCTGCAGTGCTCCCTTTTGGGGGCTTTTGAACCTCCCAGTCCCATACTCACTTGCATACAGCCCCATTCTGCAACTTAGCCTTCTCAGTCAGGAGCTTCAACACTGTTTCCCAGTCCTGCCTGGCAGCCTGGGACAGCTTCACGCTAAATGGAGGACTTGACAGGTCCCCATTCCTGAACACACTACAACAAAGAACAGCAGTAAAGGGGAGGGTTCACAGGGCTCCCAACATGTGAGAGAACGGTGGCATGGTCCGAGAACCATTGCATTGGTCTATTTGTACCCGTCAGGCATGTTGGACTTTTTACATTCCCACCGGCAACCAGGGGCTTCTGGAGCAAACCCATTCTCAATTTCTTGGTCTCACAAAAATCTACACCCCTGCTTCCCAACACCAGAACTCACTGGATATAACAGGGGGCACCTTCAGGCAGCCTTGGTCCAGGGGCACCATCACACAGGTGGTGAGTCAGACAAGGACCCTGAAACCCAAGACAGCCCCCAAGGTCAGGAGAAATTGAAGCCTCTGGTTAGGGGTAGATCAGTCCGAAATGGGTGGGATGAAGGGAAACGGAGTCAGACTAGGGGAGGAGGAGACGAGAACAGATGAGGACCAGTCACACTTTTCACCAAAGGGTACTTGTACCTCCCTTACCTCACTTTCTATCCCTACCTGTGTCTCACAGCTTCCTCTTTCTTTGGGGACCACAACCACCTGGAAATAAAGTAAAAGACTGGGAAAGAGGCAAGGAATTGTGTCTTAAATTCCTAGAAGGATGAGTTGGTTCCAGAGTGGGCATTGGGAGTACCCCATGGGACTGGGCAGATCCTGCTGACCCCTGACTCCCCACACCAAATTGGGGCAATCCTAAAAAGTGGGGGAAGACAGAAGGGCTGGGGGGACAGCCTCCCCAGGACTCACTGGTAGTCTGCTGCTTTTCCTGCCTGGATCATTTCCTCCAGGGGGTAAATAGCTGAAAAAAAAAACAGAGGTTACAGGTCAGGCTGGCAGCTCCTAGTGTGGGGCTAGGATCCAGCTCAGTAGGTCTCCCTGGAACAGCCTTTCATCTCAGTCCAGAAACAAATGCTAGCACTTGAACTTGCCTTCCTTAGGGCCCTGGGTCTGGCTGGGCATCCAGACTGGGATCTCAGATACAAACCTGAAGTTCAAAAGATCAAGAGAATCTAGTTCCTTAAGCATCCTACTATATCCCAAGAATTTCTTCATTCATGAGTGTTTTGGTTACCTGGTGACGAGAAAATACACCACAAATGAGATGGCCTTAACAAACAGGAGTTTATTCTTACAATTTGGAGGCTTTAAGTCCAAGTTCAGAGTGCCAGGCTCTAGGGGCTGGGTGAAAGCCCCTCAACCTTGAGGTCCAGCTCTGCCTCCTGCTCCCAGCCCACTGGAGCTAGAGGCGTTTCTTCACTCAGACAGCTGCTGGCTGCTGATGCTGGAAGCCCCAAGGTTGACAAGTAAAAAGGCACAGTCCTGATGTTACCAGACTACATGGCAGGCCATTAGCTTAAATCCATTGTAAGTCCCAAGGTCAGCAGAGTATGGCAGGCTGCTGAGCAACGACACGGCTACACGCAGGGTTCAAGTGTGCCAAAGGCTGAAGACCATTCTCAAGGCTTCTCCTTATATACAGGAAACAGACCACATTCCCTAAGGCAGCTACTCAGCTGCTCCCGGTAGATTCCACCATGGAGTTGATTACCAGTCTCATCATGGGGAATACTACATCCAGCTGTCCAGTCACTCAACCAGGCCTAGCCAAGTTGACACACAAACATAACCATCACAATGAGATAGGTGGTTTTATCTCCACTTTGTCTGAGACTCAGAGAGGTTAAGTGACTTGCCGAGGGTCACACAGGAAGTGACAACTCAGAATCTAAGTCTGTCTAGCTCCTGACCCTTTGCTCTTTGCATTGCAGTAAGCAACCTCATCTGAAAACTAAGATAGGACCTGGAGGCCAGGTTTGTGTTGGAAGCTTAGATACATTCTCCTCCCACCTTAGAAGGTAAAGCCTCACCCTGCCACGGGCATGATCATGTAACAGGAGAGCAGAGGGTACTTAAGCACAGCAGGGAGAAAGTGATGGATGGATTCAGGGTGTTTGGTGGTGGTGGGAAGGTATTCAATTTGGAAAAAGCAGTTCAGACTGCAGGTCTCCTTCCCACAGGACGTTATGGGCATAAGCATCCATACAAGACAGACATTGATTTGAACCCAGGTGCAACTATATACTTGTGTACTCTTAGGCAGGTTACTTAACCTTGCTATGTTGGTTTTCCCTTTTAACTAATGGGCATAAAACCACCCCCTTCACAGGGTTGTATTACATGAGAAAATGGAGTGGTTGGTACACACACACTAAACCAAACCAAAACCCAAATTCATTGCTGTCAAGTCAGATCTGACTCATAGTGACCCCGCCTTGGTTTCTGAGGCAATATCACTACAGAAGTAGATTGCCCAGGAAGTAGATTGCCCAGTCTTCCTTCCGAGGAGTGGTTGGTGGGTTTGAACTGCCATCCGTCTGGTTAGCAGTCAAGTGCCTTAGGCACTATGCCACCAGAGCTTCCCCCCCCACACACACTAAATATTGAGTAAATGCTATTAGTTCCTCCCCAGGCTCTGTCTGACCAGCCCCATCCCACTCACTGGAGCTTGCGGAATCGTTCAAAGCCAGCAGCCACATACTGCCCTCCATTCTGCATCTCTGCCATGTCAGTGACACGGTGGCCGTGACAGGGTGTATAGAGAGCACGTACAGCCAGTGGGGCCTGCACAGCTGATGTCACCTCACAGAGGAAAGTCTCCAGAGTGGGAAAGCGACGCTGAGTCACCAGCAGCTGGCGGCCTGGGAAGAAGGGATCTCCATTCTTGTACACCACTACCCACTTGGCTACTGGATTGCTGCCTGCCATTGTGTCCTCAGCGAGAGACACAGAGCTGTTGCCAGGGAACTAAGGTAGGACTGGGAGTGGTGCCAGTCAGAGGTGGAGCCCTGCTCTCACCCAGGAAGGCAAGGAGAACATCCAATAATAGCATCCATCTGCATTCAAGGTCTCATCCAATCTGCTCTTAAGCAACCTCGGTTGAGAGCTAATAGGAGGACCTAGAAGCCAGGTCTGAGTTAAGAGTCTTGATACTCAAATTCTCACAAGGGCCTCATAATAGTGTAGCAGGTATGACTGCTATATATGTAGGAAACCCTGACTCAGAGAGGGGCCTATGGTCTGAACAGTGAGTGAGTAGGAGACATCTCACTTAAACACTGATGATCCAATACCAGGGTGTGGGGGTAGCTCCAGGGCCTACCTGCTCCTCCCCAGCCAAGGGCTGAGCTCCCCTAGGGAGGGAATCAGCTCTAGGGTCCAGAGACGGAGGCAGAAGATGAAAACAGCCAGACTCAAAGAAAAATCTTTATTCTTCATCAGCTTCCCCACTTTACTTTCCCCAGATAACTCCCTGTTCTGAAATCTGATCTGAGCCACAAGTAGAGCACAAAATAGTTATCTTCTCTCTCTTCCTCTCTCTTTTCCTCTCCCCATACTGGTGCCAGCTCTTAGTTCTACCTGCTGTTAGCCCCACTAGCCACCAATGGCCAGGGACAGGGAAGGAGGGAGAGCTGGTGCCTGGAAGCCAAGACAAGGTCCCGTCTCACTCACTGTGCTTTCATGGCATTCCTTCTGGAGACTGGTCCTCCCCAGCTCCCCAGGGTCTAGCCTGGTGGTCCCGTTTTCCATGGTCTGCCCCTCCAGTGGTCCTCTCCTATAGAGTCTGACCCTGTGGATGACAGGTACTGAGGTGGCTTTGATCTCTGTAGTACAGTTCTCTGGTTTGTCCATCCTTCATGGCTAGGCTACTTGGAGGGTTCATCTTTGGAGGTTCTATCACTGGGGATCTGGCCTTTGGGTGGTTTTATTCTCCTGAGATCTAGGCCACTATGCTCTGGCCCTGCCAAAGTCTCATCCCAGATGACATGGGTCTCTGAGGGGCTTGATTCCTGTGGTCCAGCTTTCTGGCAGTCAGGCTCTTGGTAGCCTGGTCCTCTGGAAGACTTGTCCTTCATAGTTGGCTCTTCAGAAAGCATGACCAGCTGTGTCCTGGTCTTCTCAGAACAATGGCCCCTGGGTTTGAGATCTCTGGGGGTCTGGTCTTCCAGATGTTTCATCAGCTGCAGGCAGGTGCCTCTAGAAGTCTATTCTCTGTGATCTGACTCTTTGTTGAGCTTGTTCCCTATATAGCCTGATGGTCTGATAGTGTGGGCAGCTGTGATCCAGCCTTTCTATAGCATGGTTCCCTGTACTTGGCCCCAGCAGTGGTTTTATCTGCAGCGGCCACTTTCTTGGGATTTGTGGGGTTGTGACTTGACCCTCCAGCAGGAGTCATCCCCAGGGTCTAGCTCTCTGGTCGTCCTGTCCCTGTAGGACTGGTCTTCTAGTGGTGGACTTGGTTGTATGTAGACCCTCTCACAGACCTGTCCCACATGGTCTGGGCATACATTGGGCTCATCTCTGGTCTGGCTTGCCTCTGGTGAGTTCAATGTTTGTTTCAGAATTAGGTACTGTTGGGGAAGAGGACAGATACTTATTAGGCATGCCTGCTTGGGCGTGGCAGCAGGCCTCCCACTCCCTTCTCCCCTTGACCATAAATGTGCAGAAAGGGGTCCCAGTTAGTGACTACCTCCTTACGGCTATTGATGGCCTGTTGCAGCCAAAGCAGTTCCATAGCCAAGTGGCTGTGGAGGTGCTGAACCTTCTGAAGCTCAAGCTGGTTGTAGAACAGTCCTGAATCTGTGGCTTCTGTGAAGGAAGGGGTTAGGAAGGAAGAAGAGAGCCTTGAGGAATAAACACTGGACACTGTCCTAGCCTTAGAACATTGGTACCCTTCTCCATCCAGCCATGTGTTCCCCAACTGGGAAGAGAGAAGGAAGGCGATGCAGTTAATCTAGCACAAGCCTTTCACTTTTCAGATGGGGGAGCTGAGGCCCAAAGGGTGTCAAGGCTTACCCTAATCTAGGCAGAGAGGTACCTGGGTTCTCCATCCTTGAGGAGTCTCCGGTTTCTCCTCGGCTGGGTTTCCTGCTCTGCTCAGCCTGAAGCTGGGGGCTGTCTTCTCGGCAGGGGAGATTTCCTGGGTTTGCTGACCTTTTTCCTGAATTCTTCAGCACCATCTCCTTGGGCTCTTTACATGGAAAGTGGCTCCCTAGTTCCTTCTCTGGACTTGACACCCTCTCTCCTGCTTTCCAGGTCTGGTGTGATTTTACCTTCTGAGAAATCAGTAAGAGAGGTATGAGAGCCCTAGAGCTAAACCCCTCCATGCTCTGGGTGTCATCATCCAGCATACAAGTTGGTGAGGATTAAGAACTGGACTGTGAGGTGGTGAGTCTGCTGCCTCTTCTAGGAGGTTAAAGCACCCAGAGGAAAAACCAGGGCAGGTGAGTTCCACTATCCCTTGAATCCCCTCCCCAGATCCTTCCTTCTCCTCCTTTCCCCCCTTGGAGTGTGTACTACCTCTGGGAGAAACTGAGGCCTGGGAAGCCAACCTTCAGTCCACTGCATCATGGCCAGGTCACCCTCTATCTCCCGTACAATAGCCTCATACTCAGCTCGCAGACTCTGGAACTGGCGTCGGACCAGAAAGCCCCGGACACAGGCCTGGTGTGGAAAAAAGGGGAAAGATCCTTATCACTGCAAGAGAAAAGGCATCTTGAGGCTTTCTCCTGGATAGGTCGTCCTAGCTGTTCCAAAAGAGGGCATGGCCACGGGGAAAGGATAGGGGCTACTGCGTGGGAGCTCAAGGGAGGATGCTTGCCTGTATCCCCACTTCGCTTTAAGGCCCTTCCCTCCATTTCCCTGGTCCCCGCAGGTGCTGCGGTGGGAGTGGAGGGGGCGTGGGTAAGTTCAAGGCTCGCCGCATTCTTCGGGGAGGCGGGGGGTGGGTCGTCATCTCCAGAAGGTGGCACGCGAGTAGGAGACTGAACGTGATAGCCCTATATGGCTTGAAGGTCCTAGTCCGAGATCACCTGAGGGAAAATCACGCGCACGGTCCCATCCCCGCCTCACACCTGCATAGTCGACACCCTCCGGAACAACTGCTCGGTCTCCATCTCAGCGCCAACGGTCCCGCGGCCTCGGGCGCCTGCTCAGTGCGTCATTAGCCGGAGCCGTTCCTTAGCCTGCCAATGCCCCGCCCCCGCTGTCTCCACGGCAACCATTCTCTTCATCCGGGCTAGTAGCGTCCGCCAGAAGGGACTCATCGTTGTCCCACTCGCCTTTCTTTCCAAGTTCCACCCCCCAGAGCCGCTTCGGGGATTCCAGCCCCACCTGAAGGGGACTTCCCAACCAAAAGAGGGCTGTAGACGGATTTCTCCCCGGAGGCTGAGGCTATTGACGCTTCCGCCGAGTAAAGGCGCAATGAGAAGAAAGAAGAGACACAGAAGTGCTTTCTTTCCAGTTTAATTCTATCCAGTGCCCCCCTCCCTGTAGCACCTGGGGGGCCGAGTCCGTAAAAAGTCACAGTTTAAAGGGGATGAAAAGGGGCAGTCTGGGCCTGAGTCTGACTCCTACACAGCTGACTGCTCTTCAGGCTCGGCATTCTCGGCCAGGTGCAATTTCTGTCTGTGCCAGTCAAGGATTGTGACGCCCTGGACCTCAGCCATATCTCCTACCCACATCTTCCCATCCTGCTCAGTCTTAGCTTCCCCAACTGTGCAAAGGGGCGGGGCAGGGGGTCTGTGGCGGCCTTTGGCTGAGGCTGTAGTCTCTGCTTTCAGTACCCTTCTTGCTGACTCGTGTTCTCTCCTCTCGATCCAGGTTATGCCACCTTCTCTCGGTCAAAGTAAGTGGTGGACCCGTGAGCCACACTGTGGCTGGTGTATGTCTGTGTGTGTGTGTGTGTGTGTATGAGTGGGCGCGCGCACACGCACATATGCACTCTAGTTCCGACTGAGGACTAGGTGGTGAGTAGTCTAAAATTAGTCAGAAGAATTATTTAATGCTGAGGGCATCACACAAGTTTTGCAATGGATTGATGTCAGCTAAAGAACTTGCAAAGATTTTGATCAGTAGGTAAAATATATTCCCTGCAACCCTTATTCCTAATACTTGGGAAGTTCTACCTTGGCAGTTTGTGCCTAATTCTGATTCAACAGGACTAAAAGGTGTGGAGATGATGGTTGTCCATAAGCACTCCTGAGAAAGTGGAGGGGAGGAAAATGGCCCCACCTCGGAGACACAGTTACCTTGGAAAGGATACATGGAATTGCTAAGATCTTCCAGCTGTCAACAGAGAGAAAGGGAGTTTCTGTCAGGAAGTGTACTAGGTCAAACCCCAGATGCTCTGGGGGCCATAATCTGGTGGGGATTGAGGGCCCCAGTGCTGTTGGATCCATGCATTTTTAAACTCCGGGGGGCCAAGAGTTGCCTTGGGAGGCTGTGCCTCCCCTACCCCTTGGTTCCCCAGAAACTGAAGCACCAGCCCTGACCTACATTGCTAAGCAACTGGTCCAGGTTGCGGTCAGCCATAGTCTTCTTCTGCTCCTCAGGCAGCCCCTCAGTGACTCCATCGTCTTCCTCCTCTTCTTCCTCCTCTCCACACACATCCAGGCTGAAGTGCAGGCGGGCCAGCTTCTCCTGCATCTCTCGCACGTGCTCCAGCTGCTCGAAGGAGCATTCCTTCCCTGGATAGCCCTTGTCTGAGCCCTGGGAGGGAGCTTGGGATCCTGGCCCCAGCCACACCCCAGAGACTAGGTCTTTCCATCCCACCCACATACCCTCTAGGCTATGTCCCCAGGACTCACCAAAGGCTTGCAGCCGGCCTGAGTGAAAATCATTGAGCAGGTTCAGTAGTCCTCCCTCCATCTCATAAACATCAGTCACCTCAGTCAGGAAAGAGTGCTGCAGGGGGGTGCCTGCCGAGCCGCCCCCACCTCCAGCCAGCACTGGGCGGCATTTCTCCTTGCCTACCCTGGGTGGGGTGGACATACCATGGTCACAGGCTGCGGGTCAGCCAGATACCCCCAGTCTTTTGTGCCATCTGTCTATGCACTAATGCATCAGCCCATCCGCTCGCCAACATCACTGAATATTTTTTTCTCCTGGCCCTGCATGAGGCACTGGATTTGGTGGAGGGAAGGAGGGGTGAAGATAAATTTCTTTCTGCCAATGACACTCACAGCCAGACACATGTCTGGAAGGAAGGTGTTATTGGATTCCTGTCTAAGACCGTCATTGCACTCCTTTTGTGACCCTAGCGGAGTCACTTTTCTTCCCTGGCCTCACTGAATTTGTTCTGTAGGGACAGTTCACACCTTATTACCATCAGGACCATTTTGTTGTTAGTTGCCATCATGCAGATTCCAACTCATGGAAACCCCTGTGTGTCAGAGTAGAAGCGCTCAGGAGGGTTTACAACGCTGTGACTTTTTAGAAGCAAATCACCAGGCATGTCTTCTGAGGTGCCTATAGGTGAGTTTGAACCTCCAACTCTTCAATTAGCAGTTGAGAGTTTAACCATTGTGCCACCCAAGGGCGCCTATAAGTAGATTAAAAACCCACTGCCATGGAGTTGATTTCCAACTCACTGAGTTTCCCATTGAGTTTCCAAGGCTGTAAATCTTTACAGAAGTAGATTGTCTCATCTTCTTCCCACAGAGCAGCTGGTGGGTTTGAACCACCAACCTTCTGGTTAGTAGCCAAATGCCTTATTCACTTTGCTCCTTATAAGTAGATTATTACCTCTAAAATAGATTTTTAAAAATTTAATCTGAGATCCATATGGTAATTGAGCAATCACTGTCTCTACTTTCTCCTCCTTATAGATCAATGTGTTCATTGCAAAGGGCCCAAAGAGCCATTTGTTTCCTTCTCACCTCTGCCCCTTTGTCCTCAGCAACTGATTAGCAGGTATGTTTTATCCCCCAAAGTATAGCTACAGCTAATACAAGAAGTTGTCAGTGTGCCATGCAATGAAAAAAGATGAGCATAGAATCGAGAGAGACACTTGGCAGTAACGAGGCACACATTAATGTGGACTGCCTAATTATAGACTGTTTTGTTGTGTGCTGAGTAGGTTCCAGTTCCTAGCAACCCTACAGGACAGAGAACTGTCCTATAGGGTTTCCAAGGCAGATTACCAGGTCATTTCTCCCACAGAGTGGCTGAGAGATTCAAACTGGTGACCTTTCAGTTAGCAGCTGAGTGCTTAACCATTGAGCACCAGGGCTCCTACATCCTATTTTATTCCTCCAAAAATATTTTCCTTTCTATTTAAACACTGTTTTTGACTTCTCCATTGCCCTCAGGATAACCTCGAAGGCCCTTCCAGTGTGGCCCTGGCTGCTCTGGTTGCATTTCCTACCTCCCCCCCCCCCCCCCCCCCTGAGCTTTAGCTACTTCTCACTGCTAGCCATC